ACTGTCAAGCAGCCTGTATGTAGCGGAATGACAAGTATTCAGAGAACTTGATTTTGGAAACATTGTTCCTCCTCATTCATCTTCTACGCGTACCGTATTTGTTATAGCGCGACGGCTGCCAAACGCAGATAACTATTTTTTGGATGCTCTGGGCTTAAATGAAATGTTTATTGTGGATTGTGTTGCTGTTTATCTTTGCCTCTCCCTCCACAATTAAAAGCTTGCTTTACCCTCAAGTGTAAATAAATGCAAGCAATCTAAGTACGTACTCAAGGTCCCGAATGGGTAGCACCTCTCCCATTTTTTAAACAAATATTCTCGAGATATTAAAATATTTTAATATTAGACTCACTTTTTTCAGTTGCTTAAGTACGAGGAGTATGTTAATTTTGCTAGCATAGGTTTCATAATTCAGTGTTATTAGCAACTCCCTAATGCGTTGTCGCGATAGTTCTCTTCGCTAATGGAAATCGTTCCACCATTGGGTGGCAATTTCGCGCAAGAAAGATACGATATTTAACTAATTATACCCACTGTTCCATAACGGATCATAAAAATAAATAGAAATAAAGATATTTCGCAATGAAGAGGGGAAAATGTGATGCAGCTCGCAACGCTATCGTTCGCTATATCTTTCTTTCCAAAATTGATCATCATCAAAATTTAACCATGGCCGAACCAGAATGTACTGTATAGTTCGTACATGCGATGCGGAGTGCATCTGCCCCTGACAATTCTGAGGCAAGAAGACTTCCTATTCAAATGACGTTCTCAATCAAGATTTATGTATTCACTCCTCTGGACTACAATTCTTGGATTGAGTGAACTCTCTATTTGGCGCTTGAGATGCTCCTGCGAAAGCAAAACTGCTGGGAATGCGCAGCGGAACGAAGCTTTCCCTCCGAGTCATTCACTCGATTCATCTAAACATCGAAAATCGGTAGTAGAAGAGCATTGAAGAAGAAATCGCTGGATTTAAAATCGGAGGTGTAGGAAAAGTTCGAAAAATCTTTTAACTTTTGCAATTTTCAAAATTTCTGGGGTTTTAATGGAAATCAGCACTAAGGCGTATTTACACCGTATTTGCACCGTTCGAGCAAAAAAATATATAAAATATAAAATGCAAATCTTTCTCAGAATTTTTTTAAATGTTATAGATGCGTCTTGTAAAGTATCACCCAAAAAGTAAAATAGAATAGTGGTCGCCAGAACGGGGACTCCTTGCTACCTGCATCAATCTTAACCATTTTTGAAGCAGCACTAATATACCTTAATCGTGACGTGTTCAACTAAAAATAACCTTACGGATTTTACGACCGAAAATTCGAGGTCGTATTGTTGAGATGATTTCAATACTTTTCCTCTCCACACTTAGTATATGGAGGGAAAGTAAAAACAGGAGAGAACAGTTGCAAAAATATCCTATCATCGCTGATATCTCGTACATATTTTGACGATAGCGACACTCGATAGTAATGAGATTCATCGAGAATCCAGGGAAATTTAGTTTTCCTAGTTTACAGGTGTGTCTCTAGATTACTTTGCTTTTAGGTTTAATTTTCCAAGTTTATTTAGTGAAATGATTGACGCGCAACTTTGTACTGCGCAACTTCTTAACTTCTGTGCATTGGTCTACCGCTAAAATAGCACACGATCAGTGATGACATTTATTTTTAGAACAATCCGTTTTCTCCAATCCAATATCTTATTTCTTTTTAAATTTCAATGAAATAAACAATTCATTAAATGAGGTAACATTCCTCTACAGAAAGGTTTTAACGCAACATGTTTTTTCAGATTCATGGATATAGTAATTCAAGAACGTAACAATCCTGCCTTAAGATTAAAAAAGAGATCACAAAGGTAGTTGATTCTGTGAATATTCTGTTCTCTTCTTCCCAACGCTTGCATCAGCAGCCGTAAGTGTCCCAGACGTAGGCAGGATTTCACAAAATAGGTGCGTTTCAATCAACAAGAATCTTACCAACAAACTTCAGTGATGAGAAGTGAATGAAAGTGAAGAAGTGAATGAGAAGAGAAGTGAACCAGAATATAATTTATTTTGTCAGTTTGTTCAATATAATTCGTCCCATTCAGTTTTAAATCTTAGAGAACTGTTAATGCTAGAGGTGCTTGCTTCTTCGATAATGTACAGGCAAATTGCAGGATGTCGTGAAAATTAACCACTAACCCGTCTGATCCTTCGCCTGTACCCTTCGCGTCCACGAATAGTCCCCGCGTTCGCTACTGCTCTTGTCCTCAGCTCCGGCTGCTGGTGTCAGCTCTTTGCCGATCCGCCTGTCAGATGAGTATTGTAGTATATAAAAATGATAAAGTCTGGTCCAGAGTTGCATAGACGTACTTTCTTTTAGACACTTCGCAAACTACTCGAGTGCGTTTTCAGTCCACTGGATCTTGTTCAAAGATTTATTAGGAATCTCATAAGTCGATTTTTCTCTGAGTAAATAGATTGACAAAAGCGATATATTGATAGTAATACAGTAAGTATTCTCACACAATGTCAACATTGTTTCAAACAAAATATTTTATTCAGAGTAACAATAATGTTAACAAATTCTGCGAATTAAAATAATTTTTGCGACATGTAAGCGCGAACCGGCTGAATGACGTTACACAACGTATATTCGCGGATGATATTAAATATATATATTTAAGGTGTGATTTCAGTATCTGTAGCCTAGTGCATACAGAAAGACGGAAGTTATGGTAGTGTGATCCAGTATTCAGATTAGATCATTTTGCAAGCTATTGAAAAGTGTGAAAAATATGAAACTATTAAGAAGTAAAAAAAATCTGATTCGATTTCATGTCTAATTCGCAATTACCAAGGAGGATCGCATCGATTGCATGGAAATTCATTGAAATGAAATTATTGTTTAGAATGATACTACCCTGTTTAATTTTGAACCAGACTCGAAAAATTATTGAAACAGTAACACGAATTAATCAAACATCAACAGCCCAAATCATATTCTCAAACATTTTATATTCTATCATCTAAAGTGTATACTATATTTTGTCCAAAGGCTAGTAGAAAAATTAACAAGTTTTCGTAATGCAGAAAAAGAAGTGTATTTCCCAAAAAATATTATGTATACATAAATAAAAACTTCACTAATGCAAAAATTATGGGCTAATTTAATATTCGACTACCTAATAAAACAAAACAAAAATAATTATTTGTCCTGAGAATTTAGTTGAGAAACGTAAATTACTTCTCCTCGACACTTTGGCATGTTGATAACTATTTTCTTGATGTACTCCGGGACCGGCAAAGGTGCTTCTGACCGGCAGTGACAGTATTTTCGACACTAGCTACGAGTAGTAACTAAGTCGAATTCCGCCGATATCTAGAGAATTCTAGCGACTGGGTGCTCTGATTGGTAGTTTTCCGTGGTTTCTCCGATCAACACCAGGCGAATGCCGGAATAGAGCCTTAGCAAACGGACCGCACGCGATCTTTCCTTCCTCTTCATCGACCTATCCTCACCCCTTACCGACACTCTCGTGCACTACACTATTCCACATATCGGAAGAGCAGTGGGGAACGTGGAGCTTCTCCCGGTTGTAGTGGTGCCCCGCGGGGGGAAGTGGGGAAAATCCCCGCAAGGGGACGCACGTCGCCGCGGAATCTCGACATCCACCCCCCCCTTCCCCACCCCCAATGAAACGCGCACTAAACATTCAGTTGGCGCCTGAAATCGCTAATCAATCATGGATTCAATGTCCTTTTTTCCCATTCTTTCAACAGACTTGTTTTGAGCTCTTCTTTTGACATAATGGATGTTTCTCGAATTTTCGTATCGGGTTCATTCCACAAAGGCTCAATGGGATAAAAGTCTGGTGACGGGGAAAAGGGGGCTCAACATCTTTGGGCAATTATACAATAGCCACTCCCTGACAATATGGGCCTTACGTTTGGAATCGTTATCTTGGTAAAATTTAAAGTGCTGGTAATGCCCAATTTTATTAGCATTCCTGTGCAAGTTCTTAAGTATTTGAAGATCACAAACGGCTGTTTACGGAATGCTCTGGATTTGTATCCTTCTCGTCAAATAACATTTCGAATGGTTTCTAGTGCATTTTTGTTTCGAATATTGTTGAAACGTTTGCAGCAACTTACTTGGGTGCACTTACAGCAACTAAACTTTTGGTGCACTTACATTGGGATTTTTCTTTACCTCCTGACCAAGACTCCCTCCGTCTTTCTAGTTCATTCAGGAACTGTGGATGTCCTTGTTGAAGCACAGACAGGATTCCATCCTCTTTCTTATACTACCTCCTAATGATGTCACCAATCGTAGAACGAGAAATATTCAATAGAGATCTTATTTCTCTTTTTGATTTTCCCTCCGCGTGTTGAAATATGACAAACCCTAGTTGTTCAAACGTTGTTCTTGTCTTTTCGTTCCATGCCATGAAAGCGATGTCCAACCCTCTGGAGACCTTTAAGTGCGGTTAGAACACGGAATTTCGCCGGCTTATCTCCAAATTTATATTATTTTCCTCCGTTCAGTTGCAAAAAGCTTTAGTGGCCAAATATTAAATTGGAGCATTTTTTGCGATAATTCAAACGAATGCACAGGTATAGTAATTTTGATTTTATGAGCCTGATATTCAAGGATATTTCAGATAATATAATCAGGCATACTGGTGCCATTTTTTCACTTTCTACCATTTATGAAGAGGGCATAAATTATTTTAAAAAATCGCATAACAACCAGCGGGCGAATATTAAATAGTAAGATCGTATATGTTTATAATGTAATCGCCCCTGCATTTTATTTTTGCACCTGTTTCTTCATAACTACCATTTTACAGGTGTTCAAACGCAATCATTTTCTAAAGCTAATCTGATTTTTTCGAAGATATAATAAATTTAATTTATCATACAAATCTAGTATGGGGACGAAATACGTCATTTCAAGTGAAATGTCTTTTCGTAGGATTAGTGAATTGTGAAGAATTGTACAGTACTTAAAAAGAAAACTTTATTGATTGGCAATGCATTAAAACAATCACTCATCTTTAGTATTAAATTTTAATAGCATTATAAGTGGTGCTACGCCATCTACTAATATTTCTTTTGTCTTTTCTGTTTGTGCTGTTTTCAGATTTTTTGTGTCAACGTTGTTCTGCTTTGATTTTTTTTTCCAGAGAAAATCTTAGTTGCTGTCAATCACATTAATCTTTCATTTTTCAAATTTTAATATCGACTCTAAAACGTATTTCACTGCCAGTCGTACCAACAGTGAATATTAATTGACGTAATGCGTATGTGTTTTAGAGGTTAAAAGTCTCATAAGCATTTAAATACCATTATTTTTCATTCATTAGTTACAAAATGGTATTTGTTGTGTTTAAAAGCACGTTCTTTGAAATTGAATTCTACGAAACAGCTTTGCATTGGACAAATTCGTGTTTGAAACTATCCTAAACTTCGTAACTGGCGCACCGCTACAACACTAAAGCTTTTAACTGCTGGGATAATACGTGATGGTATGCATTTGCCTTTATGCCAAATATGTTTATTTTGTGAGCTGATTGTTTCAAACAAACTTACTTGTACTTTCCAATAATAATGGCACATGTTGAAAGAAATAAAAGCTTTTATTATAATGCTTGCATCGCCTTTTCAGTAGTATAATCGCTTCGGTAACTTTTGCTTTTGGTGATGAGATCAAGAGGATAGCTGATTAACCGGATAATAGAAGCTGATAAATCGAGAATATTTTTCTTACTTATTAAACAATTGTCACAATATTTGAAAATTGAGAAGTGGCATTAATGAAAACTTGTTAGAAACTTACTTAAGGCGTTCATTTCTTCTCCCGCTGAGGTAAATTGTAATAAATTCAGGTCGCGCTTCAAAATTTGTCTTCCCGGCCTACCAATATTTTCGCGAACTAGCATTCTCCTTCCTTCCTAGCCCCTTTTTACCGTACCGATCAAATGCAATACTTGATTGGTATGGGTAAATGTCATTCCTGTGATTAAAAAATGTGTAGGGTGCAGTCTTAGAGAAAGTTAATAATTTAACTCGAAAATTCCATGCATATTTTTATGGTTTGTAAACTTTTATTGTTTTTAACCACTGTCGAAAATCCAACTAATCATAGTAAAAAAAATTGAACTCGCAATGCATTTTCCTGGATATTTTGAAGTTTTAATTGAAACGCCTTCGTTAAAACTATGAGTTTGAATTACGTCAGTTTATTTCTCAAGTTAAGCGTTCTGAGGATGATCTCCGAAAGTAGTATGAGACTGAAGAGATGAGGCTATCCTGATATCATTATTGACTTAAAACGTAATGTGTCGAGTGCCGCATTGCGGCAGTCTTTTTAGCCCTCCCATCGAAAGACACCTTTCTGCATTCCGCCGTAAGCGGGGCTTCGAATCCCAAACAAACTTGACATGGAAACTCCTCTTCTCCTCTCCTGACCAGATAACGTTTGCTTTCGCATTCCTTATTTTGTCTTCCAACAGCCCAATCATCCACAATGTGCCTGTTGCAGGTATAAGAGCCGCGCTGTAAACACCCAGTGCCAGCGAGTGTCCCGCTTCGCCTCTTCCGCGCCGGCTGCCGCCGCCGCCGCCGCCGCCGCC